ACTTGGACAGGAATTGGCTGGTCAACTTTAATGCTTCAAAAACAAAACTGCTCTCTATTAATCACCACAGAGATCCTTCCCTACCCTCCATTAGAATGTCTGACGCTCAACTTCCCGAAAGCACCTCTCTGCGGCTGCTCGGTCTCACGTTGACTACTGACCTGAGATGGAACAAATACATTGAGTCAATTGCTTCGTCCACCGCAAGGAATGTTGGCTCCCTGTGCCGCACCAGGAAATTTTTCTCCCCGGAATCGATCCTCCAGATATACAAATCAACAATTCGCTCTTGCATGGAGTATTGCTGCCATATATGGCCTGGAGCCCCTTCTGTTTGCCTCGGGGTTCTTGATAGGCTCCAGAGGCGGATATGCAATATAATTGGCCCTGATCAGACACTTTCTCACAGACGCGCCGTCGCCTCTCTCTGTCTGTTCTACAAATACTTTCATGGCAATTGCTCCGTGGAGCTGCATTCGCTGGTTCCCAAATTAAAGACTGCGAGTTGGAGTTTCTTTCTATATCTAGGAAAGATATATTCTTAAAAGGAAAGGGCACTGTGGATTTGTAAGCTGATGGTGAGGCAGATTTAGTCTCAGCCTGTTCCCCACCCCATCTCGGGCTAAAGAAAGAAACCTTTCGTTTTGGCTTCTATAATCAAAATGAAATTGACTGCCGTTTTCGTCACTGTATGGAGTGGCGTCACTAAGCATCCGTCACGTAATCCATGTGACTTATCTTCACGAAAGGGAGATAATCGCCCTCTGCATCCCTACAATGCCACAGGGGGTTACAGGGAGTGAAAGTGAAAGTGAAAGAGAATAAGAAAACTGAGAAGAGGAAGGATTGAGAAAAGAATAAAAAAAGGAACAGGGTTCAAGAAGACAGAAGATGGCGATTGATGTTGCATTTAAATTTTTGAAGGTTGTAGTTATCACGGAAGCAAGTAAATAGAGAAAGGATTTCTACAAGTGGGAAGTGCGAGAAAAGAAACTGTTAGAATAGAAGTGTGATGGTTGCATCTAGCAAGTTCAAAACTTAAAGAGTGAGACCTAGTTGCCACTCTAGTAGCGCGCTTAAATTTATGCAGTCGGGGCACCAGGGAAATAAAGCTTATCAGAGCAGTTGCCATGAAAATATTTATAGAAGAGACAGAGGGAAACTACATCACGTCGGTGAGAAAGTGACTGAAGTTGAGATGTTTGGTCAGGGTCGATTACATTACAGATCCTTGTTTGGTGGTGATGATAATGATATGAATTTTCCACCCTTCTCAACTCCTTTCGGCAGTTCAATGACATTTTGTTGATAATAATTATAATTGTTTTTCTAAGCCCAATATAATTGTATTTTAAAACTGTTATCTTGTCTAAGTGTGTGGCACACAAAAGAAAATTTTGTGCAAGTTGTTTTGCAAATTTTGCATTCAGTGCTATTATTAGTTTTCACATCGGAGTAAGTGTCTTGTGTTTTTACCTTTGCTCCATTATACTCGAGATAAGAGATTTTACGTTATCTCAACTTCTCCCTCTAAGACTTTTTACTTAATGTAAGGTTCATCATTTTCAGATATCACTTCCTTGCGTTTTCATGAAAGAATTTATATTAGCTTTTCTTTTTCTTTTCTTCTTTATTTTTTTTATAATAATAGTAAGTATGTTTGTGCCTAAAGTTGATAGCATTTTATTTATGTTGGGTTTGTAACGAGAAAGAGCTAGAGAACAAAGATTTATTATCCCACATATATTTTCCCCGTTATGGGCATTATTTTACGGACGAGGCGGAATGATTGGAAAGAAAATGAATGACAAACAGGATTTGTTATCAGAGAGACTTTTATCATACTAAGACATACACGTAACTACATGTCCCACGCGGAGAATAATATATTACATATATCTACACAGCAAAGCAAAGTGTGGCGGACTTCACCACATTAATTTAACTTTAGATTAGGAAACAGGGCTGACACAGAAAAGAATAAACCAAAGCCATTGTTACACATAAAATATGTATTTAACAAGATGTACAATATCAAACAACGATGTGAAAGAAAGCATGCATTTAAGTAAGGAAAGTTTGAAATAATCAAGAGTTGTCTCTCTTTATCTGTTATTTTAGTATTCTAAAGTTCACTGGAATGATGTTCATGCGAGTCTCTTATAATGACTGTTATTAAAAGATTTGCCGTTACAAAAGATTATGTGAGTATATACAAGGTATGTTCAGCATGTGAGAGGTGTGTGTAAGTGAGAAGGTTGGCGCATGGTTTCAACTGTAGTGGATTCGTTTGGCAGCTGAATTCTTACTAATTAGCTAAGAAAAATTCTTGCTTAAATAAGTGACTATAGGCTCCAGATCGCTGCGCGGTAAGAATTATTCTTCACGTAAAGACAATCTGATTGGTTAGCATAAACCAATCAGCGAGCGAGCTTTGGGGAGACTTAAGAAAGCTTCTGTGATCCGTTTCTCCTAAAAGTGCACAAAACTGACTACATGAAAATAGAGCGATTACAAAATTGTCGCATTGCTGCGATTTGTAAATTGTCTATAATAACGTAGTGGTGATTAATTAACCAATGAATGCTTGGCGTTGTATGTGATTTGTATTTGTATGTATGTATGTATGTTCGTGCGTGATAGACTCACACAAGAGTGTTAAGAGAAACAAAAAGGAAGAGTTTTGTATATAATATAGTGATACTCCTGTGTCTGGAAAGACATGTTTAAGTCTCCAGATTCAAATGGGCTGGATTCATCTATGTCCAGGGGAGGACATATTTCCCGAAAGGTAAACAGCGAGTCTTGCGTTTTCCAAAATTGAGGACTGCGAGCTGGAGTTTCATTCTATATCTGGGAAAGATATATTCCCAAAAGGGAAACGGCACCATGGACTATAAGCTGCTGGGGAGGTATATTTAGCCTCTGCCCTCACCCCCATGGCCCGGGTTAAAGAAAACAACATTACCGTTTGGTTGCTGTAAACGAACTCAAATTGACTGGTGCTTTCGTCACTATATAGAGTGACGTCACTAAGCGGTTGTCACATAACCCATGTGACTTATGTTCACTAAAGGGACATAATCGCCTTCAGTATCATTACAGGGTGTTTGTATTTTATGGTTAATGCTTCTACTATTTTTATTTTTATTTTTTACAGTTTATGTGATATAGTATTTTTCTCTTGTAAGGATTTGGCATATTTTTGTGTTGTTTAATGATATACGATTTAATTGAACGATATATAAGATACACATAATAAATATTTCGTTCTATTTAGTTCACATAGTTTTATAGTCATGTATTGTAAATAAAACTATTCTTTTTAATAAGCCATCTAATAAATAAATAATTTTCAGTATCTTTATTGTCAATTCTAAAATATAAAGAACACATATAAATCCACTTTCATTCATATGTTGGGTTTTATTGAAATTCAAATCATCACTTTTTAAAACAATAAACATTGTCGAGAAAGTACATTAATAGCGGTGTCAAGGGAATAACCGTCCTTTTGCTACACCGGTTTTTGCGGAGGAGGGGGGTCGAGTACGGAAGTTAAACATTGCTCAAACTTTATTTCGATATGAATGTTTGAGGAAGAGAAATAAAAATAAAATGATAGAAAAAAATGAGTATTAATGAGTGGATATAAAGTTTAATAATTTTATAATAAAATTATTAAACTTTAAAAGTAAAACTATATAGAATATGTGGTCAGATAATTTGTTTTCCTTAAGAAAAATAAAATGAAAAGAAATTTTATTCAACTCTCCCCAACCAGAGTTTTATTGGAGGGCTTTTATGTCGAGGGTGATTTCCCTGTAACTAAACAAAATTTTGTCGAAATCTCGTAGTCGTACCATTAAAAGAAGAAATTTTCTTGTGGTAGACAGTAAACTGCAGTGATTTTAAAAATGATGGACAAAACTTTTATTCACAAGTAAAAAAAACAAAAATTCAAACCTTGAGCACTAAAACTGTAATAAAAAGTCATCGCTTGTATGTACAATTATTTATCACGTTCGATCTTCCGTACTTAAAAATATGATATTTTTTTTTAGTCAGAAAACATTGCCAAATTCAGTGCTTCGTTATAGATTTGCTGCATGATTTACATCTAGTGGTCTCCAGAATCAATTTATTTTTATTGACCAAAATTGGGTAACTGATGTTGCTATCGTCTGCTAAGCGAAAAAAATATTTTTTAAACTTCGATCCTCGAGATCGTTCGACTTTATACACACATTGCACATGACTTTCTTTATTGATTCGAAAAGTTTTGCATTTATATTTTTAACGGAAATCGAATTATAACTCTCAAGTCTGTCACGTTCAAATTGGTCACGAATCATGACATCTGTCAGTTGTTAAGCCTTCTTTCTTTCTTTCTTTCTTTTTTTTTTCTTTTTAAGTAATTTAAAAAAATTATTATGAATGAACATATGTTTATTGTTCCACTGGGTTTCCATAGGAAAGTGATGGTTCCTATACATGTCGTAGTTAGTTGTTTTGTTTTTCTTTCGAGTCTTTATCTGTTTTAGTGAGTGTCTGTTTTATACGCTATCAGTTACCTTATTTAAGCAGATCAGAGTTCAAAGATTGAAAAGCCGAAAATGCAGATGGATAATCATTTTAAAATGAAACAGGAAGCACTCGTTTTGTCACATTCTCATGTGATTCAATCGACTCAAAAAAATAAAAGAGGACAGTTGTACCCAGTTTTTGTCAAATGATATTGTTCGAGTCAAGAATTTTATTTTGTAAAGTTATTAAAAACAAAATCCTAAAAATTTTAGGATTTTGTTTTTGTTATTTTTTTTTTCTTTCTAGTCTGTAAAGTTTGCTGACAACGGTCTTTCGAGTTTTAATTCTTTGTATCTTCTTCTACGGATTAATTAATAATTTATCTTCTCCACACCAAAAAAAAACAAAACACTTGCCTTATTTTATTTTTATTTATATCCGATTTTTTTTTCCATTCAAAATTAAAAACAAAAATGCCTGGAGAATTAACTGAAACGGGATCACAATATTCATCTTGGGTAAGTAAAAGAAAAGTTGATAATATTTTGTTAATTTCTGCTTTTAAACGACAATAAAATGAAAATAACCAAAAAGATTTTTATGTATAAAAAAATGAAGACTCCGTTGCAATTAGGATATATTTCTTCATCAAAATGTAAACATTTAAACACGGTATTGTGAGTTGTTTTTTTTTAATTCATTAACTTCTTAAAATAAAGGGATAGTCATCTGAAAAACGAGCACTTTTTACCCGACTTTTTGAATTTAGAGGAAATTCTTGCTTTATTTTAATTTAAATATTTATTTAATAATTTTAGATTAACTTTGTGGTAACGTTTTTTTTTTTAAATATTAAGATAAAATTAAAATTCTGCGAGTTGAAAGAAAATAAAAGAAAATAAACAAACCCTCTACACTTCATTTAGTGTAAAAAAAAAAAAAAACTGTAAAATGATCTTTTAATCAAAATTTTAAATCAAAAACTTATCTTTCCTTTTTTTTAAAAAACTGTTTATTTTTACAATGAAAGTGTTGGAAATATGAATTCAAAGTTCGACAAAATTTTTAAAAATGAACAAGAAAGAAAGTCTTCTTCTTCATAACAATGTTTAGTTTACATTATTTTTTTTACCATAAATCAAACCTGCCAAATATTTCTTATGAATCTTGTCAAACGTTAAGTAAGTTTCTGGGAAAAAAATGTTCTTTTGTTCCTTTTAAAAATTGTATTTATGCAACAAATATTGTAGTCTTTTTTTTCTTAAACTTTTTAGTGGTGACAACACGCAAAAAAATAAAATAAAAACTACACTACAATTAAAAATAAAATGAAAATATTAAATTATATTTGGGTAAATTTTAAACCCTAAAAAAATTCATCCAAAAAATTCTTTTTTAAAAAAAAAAAAAAAAAAAAAAATTAGTCAGTACAAACAAGGATTAAAGATGTTTTGAAATTAGTGATTGAAATTTTTTTAATTAATTGATTGAATTAAAAATTTGCCTGAAGATATTTTTTTATTGCTGAATTTTTTATTTCTTTCTTCATTAAATTCAGAATGAAAGTCTAAAGACGTCTTCTCTTTCAGACAGAATAATTTTTTTTTTTTAAATAAAATGTGTAAAAAATTATCCTCGGTTAAAATTGAAAAATAATTAAGAAATACCTTAGTCTTTCTTCTTAACATGAACATTTTGGCAATAAAACTTTGTTTTTATTAAATTTGAGGCCTTTTTCATCATGCTACTGTTCTTTCAGCGATATAGTGGAAATACGTATAGGTTGCAAATATTCAACAAAAACAAATACCAATAAATTTGTTTTTTATTGTTGATATTGCATCAAATGGCACAAGGCCAAATTTGGGGGAGAGAAAGAAGCCGGTCTTCATCTGTCCTACGTTTCACTTAGTCTCTTTGGTAAGTAACAACGTCAAAGGAAAAAAAGTCACAGTTTTAGCTAGGTAAAAAAGTCAAAACTTGGTTTTGCGAGTGACATGTTTGGCACATGAAACACATTGCAGCAGATTTTAGGACCACGATTGTTATTGTCTGCAATAATATCCATGGCACGAGGTGTAAAAAAATTATTTTTCTTTAAATCCAAGTGTTGTTGATTCATAACAGCACTGAGATCCGAGATTACCACAATTCAAGTTTATGTTCAAGTTTATGGATTTTTAGAGTTAAAAAAGAAAAAAAAAAGTCTAATAAAAGAAAGACGCGGAAATGGTACTAACATTGTCTTGTTTCTTCTTTTTCCTGTGACTTTTATTTTTTACCTGGATTTATTTTCTCAATTACTGAACCACTCGTCCCATAATGTTCACGTCACCACAATGCCATAGTCTTGTTACCTGACCACCATTCTTTACTACAGTCACAAAAATTAATGTCTCTATGAAATCCTAACCAGTCCCCATACAATATTTGTCTGTAGGGATGGGATATAAAAATAATATCTATCCCCAATAATGTGTAAATTTAATTTACAATATGAAAAAAAAAATATATTTACAAAAACTAAACAAACTACAGTAAGTAATACCCCACGCCCAAATTCTAAAATTACTGCATAAATAAATATCACTTCACTAGACGAAAATAATGTGAGACTGAATAAATATGGGAACATTCAAATCAACCAACCATGCACTCAATCAACACTATAACAATTATGAAAGGCACACTGCTTTCACTAGAGAAGTGATATGTCCGTTACCTAATGAGGTGGGGGGTTTAAACTAAAGAAAAAGAGACAAAAATAATAGGGGCAGATGAGCATACATACTCTAAAGCAGTGGTTCCCAACCTTTTTTGGCCATGCCCCACATAAACACCTCTAAAATCTTAATGCCACCCGCCATGACATAATTTTTATTTTCAAAAAGTGAACTCCTATTTACATAGAGGAAGCCTTTTTAAAAGGCCATTAATTTGGTCTAAACAAACTTACAAAGAACATGGATTTCATGAAAGAGAAAAAGTAAAAGAAGAAAAAGACAGTGCTAAGGAAGACATTATTAAGAAATTGTTTAAAATCAATTAATTCATTAATTTAATTATGAAAGCCATTTCATAGTCGTGATGATGGTGATACACACTCTCTCTCTCTCTCTCTCTCTCTCTCTATATATATATATATATATATATATATATATATATATATATATAAACTGATGAGTCCCAAAAATAAGACGAAACGGCACTGTCCAAAGCTTTCTGCATTCTGTTGAGGATTCTTCTAGACTCAATGAATTACTATAATGATTTTCCTAAATCCCCAGAATTCTATGACTTGTATAGCCTTGCTTGACCCAGCTATTGCTCTGTGATGGAGTGGTTCAGGGAGAAAGGAAAGATGTGGCTCTTGGGGCACGATCATTTGGGTTATGAATACTTGAATGAGTATCTCCATGGAATTTGTGAGTAGCGACACTATATTGAGTTTATTCAGTTTCTTCTTCATCACCGAGGCCCATTGGTACAGTTGGTATAATGCTTGCATTGTATTGAAACGGTACATGTTCGAATCTCATTAATGGATGCGCACTGCTGATGAGTCCCAAAAATAAGATGAAATGACCATCCAGTACTTTCTGCATTCTCTTGAGGATTCTTGTAGACTCAATGAATTACTAATATATATATATATATATATATATATATATATATATATATATAAATAGTTATACTCATTTGGAAAAACCTTAGGTATTTTGGCTTGTAATTGAACAATGCCCAAGGGAAAATAAGGGTTAAAAAAAAAAAAGAAAGAACTAAGAACATGAAATTGAGGTGAAAAGAATTGTCCAGAATCCAAGCTCAAAGAAAAAAAACTCCAGATGAGTAAAGCAAAAGTAACTACGTAAAGTGCTCAATAAGCTAAGTAGAGCAAACCTAAATATGAACTTAAAGAGCCAGGTAAATATGGATCGTCAGGGTTAACTGGCTAAAGAGGTAAAGGTGGAACAGAATATATAGCCTACAACATAAAAAAATCAACCAAGTAAAACAATAACTCAACAAAGCGTGGGTTTACGTTTTATTCAATAACAGAACAAAAAAAAATTATATATATTTATATAAAAATATATGTATATATCATTTGTTTTCGTTAAGATTTGCTTCAAACCGATATGAGCATTCAAAAGAAATAGTAATTTGACCTTTCTAACCAGACGTTTACTCTGTAGCTACATGATAGTTCTGTGTAGGATACAGGTTCAATTCCTGTCAGAGGACACATATTTTCTATAAGATTTCTTAGACATTCAGGCTGGTAAATGTTATTAATACTGTTTATTATAAACAAGCATATACTTAAATATCTATATCTATAAAAATAATGTATAAACAGAAAATATATTTAATTTTTGATTTTTATCAACTGCGCAGTATAGCAGGGTCAGTTGGGCAACATCTGTGAGAAAAAGAACACCATGACATAATTCACTCTGCCAGAAATTTAAAAATTGCATGCAGCACTGCTTGGCATTCATGCCATAAGCTCCAATACCAACATTTCAAAGTCTTTGGGTGTCAATCTGAGGACAGTGCAGAGGATTTGCAGACATGGCAGTCTAATGGTATTATGAAGGTATAGCAGTTCAGAAAACTCACTCTGATAAGAAAAGAACTCCTGAATTTGTTGGTGAGGGCCTCAAACTCAACACAGAAGCCTACATCAAATACCTCGAGGATGTCATGCTGCCCTGAGACAAGAGGGTGGCTGCTGGAAGATTCTAACTGCCTAGAGTGTAACCACCTTGATTATTATATGTGGGGTGTAGCTGAGCTGGAGACCAACAAAACTCCTTGTAACAAGAACTGAAGGCAATGATTATGGCAGCATTCACCAACTTAAACAAAGAGTCTGGAGGAAATTTTGAAGTCATCTGGAGGCTATGGTTGAATCCAATGATGATTTTATTGAATAAATTTACTCTTTAGTATTTTAAAATATTTTTATGTAATTTTGGTAAATATATCTGTTAAAATGAGATATCGGTGTTATTTTCATTTTTGCATAATTTAGATGACAGTTTATCCATCACACCGTGTGTGTCTGGTGTGTATGTATGTATAAAGTTATATATATATATATATAAAAAGATGGTAAAAAAAAGGTAAACTTTTCAGCCTCATGAAATTTCTTCTGCCATGTCATCCACACCACAACTCTCAGAATGCCAAGCAGGCAGAAGAACACATAGTGCTCAGTTTTTGCCAATGGCAGCACCACATTGCTATAAACAGAACTCACTTTAAGGGTTGCAAATGTTTGTCAAATATAAATACTCTACAATATCTGTCTATATTTCTGGGATGAAGTATTGTAACTATTTACATTATTGGGACTGTTTTCCTCATCTTTATTGTCATATTCATGATGTTTCAGTTGTTGTACACTCCAGCCTTCTTCAGGTGATTGGAATTTCAAACTGAACCCTTTATTTAATCCACCAGATTGTTCTAGAAAACTTAAGGAATCAGCACATATGCTCATCCACAAAAA